TATTTCGAATTTTCGAATACATTTCTTTGTTTTTTCTTTGCTGATCCAAAAATTGTGGGGATGTTGGGGCTATGGCTGACAAAAATATGCAGACATTTTCTGGTTCTTTGTGCCCCCATAAATTTGATTTACAGCCATTGCAGATCCGTATGCTAATCGAACGGCTGAGATCACATGGTGGACAGTTGATTGTCTCTGGCCCCACATGCTCATCCATGACAAAATTAAATAACTGGTTCTGGTTGGTGGTTGCCCCACTGCAATTAATGGCAGGTGCGGACCACGGTCCATTGCTGACAAGAAACGGAACGTTGCATTGATGCCTGCCACTGTGGCCTGCCGAGGCTTCTTTACAACATTAAATTGTTCATTATTATCAGTGTTTATTCAATATGTCAACAATGTTGCCGCAACGTACCAATATTATTGAGATAAGAATTATTATTATTAATAAGTAATTAATTCAATTGATAAAATTTTTTTTATAAAAAAATTTTAAATTTAAATTTTATCAATGATAATTTATTAAAATTATTATGATTGCATAACTTATAATTAATTATTTTAAATTATCGGAACAAAATATTTGTTTTAATTTTAAAAAAATAATAGATTAGGCTTGTTTTTGAGTTTAGAGTTATGCTTAATTGATTTATCAAAAAAATTATAAAAATTTAAGAGTTTAAATTCTAGTTAGTATTAAGTTTCCGTTTTGAGTCTCCCTCCTTAACTTTGTGGTTTTCTCACTATTTTTTCGCGTAAAATAATCTTGGGGGTCAGACAATTGGATAGTTATGGGTTTGTTACGATCTAATAAAGAAGTTTTAAGAGGTTTTTTAGATAACTATAACAATAAAGAGAATTAATTAAGTATAGTTTTTTATTTTTTAAGTGCTAATTATTTGTGCGAAACAATTATTATATGATATTATTATTAGAATTAAAATTTTAAAATTTTGCTATATATTTTGATTTTATACATAATTTTCAATAACATAATTATCAAAGAAAATATTGTTGAAGTTTGTCTTGAATTTCATAATCCTATATCAAAAGTTAACACTATGTGTGAATTGAGAGGAGGGAAAAGAAAGAAAGAAAATAAAAAAAGTAATAGAAACAGAAATTTTTTTTTTTTGTTTGGATAAACTTTTAATTTGAAGAAAAAGAAAGAAGTGAAAACTTAATAATCTTTTGTTTCCTTTATAATTTTCACTTTTTTAATACCCTAATTTAAGGAAAAAGCTAAGGAAAGTAAAGTTGAAAATTTTTTAGTTTTATAAAAAAATTATTATATCCATAAGTGCTCTAAAATCATTGATAATAAAATGTTTAATTGAAAAAATTATTATAATAAATTATTTCCTTTTTTTTTCACTTTTTATCTAAATAAAGGTTGTTAGAATTCTTTTCCTTTCCTTTTTTTTTCTTTATTAATTTTAATTATCAAACAAGAGATACATATATCCTTTCTTTTCCTTTAAAAAATTTTATTTTCCTTGTCTTTCTTTTATTTTATTAATATTTATCCAAACATTGCGTAAATAAAGTTAGACGAGTTTAAATTTATCTTGTATTTCACATCAAAAGCTTAGTAAAAGTATAAAGGGTTTCATTATTATAAATAAGATGTTTTTATTTTAGTTTGATAATCTTAGATAATTAGACACTAAGAGAATAACTAAGCGAGTAATTTATTTTGAGTAAATATTTTTTTGTAACTTTTCTTATTCCAAAAGTTTTACACTTGTAATAGTAAATTAGGTTTAGAGTAGATATTTTGAGTTGGGCCAAAACAAATATTTTTGTATGTTTTTATTTTTTATTTGAACTTGCTATTTTGTATATGGTTGCTGCATGTGCATATTGATTTCTCAACAAGTGATATCAGAGCGAGGTTTATTAGAAAAAAGATAGGCCCAAGATCATGAAGCAAGTATTTCAAGAGATCATAAAGCAAATATTTTAAGATGTTTGAAGAATATATGTCTAGTATGCCAATGCCCAAGTTTGAGATTTCATTATTTGATAGAAATAGTAATTTTATGTTATGACAAAGTACAATTCAATATCTGTTATATAATAAGAGTTAGTGTTGGATCAAAACATTAAAGAGTAATAAGTCAAAGGGAATGTCTAATAGTAATTGGAATAGAATTAAAAAAAAATCTGTTAGTACTATTAGATTGGCATCCAAGTTTGAGATTTTGTTATTTGATGAAAAGAATAATTTTATGTTATGGCAAACTATAATTTAAGATCTATTAGTACAATAAAGGTTGGATTAGACATTAGACAATAGTAAGCCCAAAAGAATGTCTAACTGTAATTGGAATAGAATTCAGAAGAAAGTTGTGAGTACTATTAGATTGGCGCTAGCCCTAAAAGTAAAGCATAGTGTGTTTAACTAAGATTACTCTGAAAAGTTTGTAAGATAAGTTTGCAGGTATTTTATGCATCGAAGTTGTTAATTAACAGATTATATTTAAAGATAGATCTATGTTCTCTGAATATAGAAGAATGTACGAGTTTTCATAATAACTTAAATGAGTTTAATATGTTAGTTTCTTAATTGTTGACAATTTGTTGATGAAGCATTAATTTTGTTGTCGTTTCTGTTGAAGTTCTACAGATTTTTAATTCAAATTTTGTTGATGGATCAGGTTTTATTTTGAAGTTGGATGGTGTGACTGTTCTGTTGCGTGAGAATGAAAGGTTTATGGGAACACAAAACTCATCACTTGTAGGGAGTATACTAACTGTAAAGGGTTTTGATCGAGGAAGGACTCAGAAAAAGATTGATGGATCAAGAGGGAGATCTAAGTCAAGAGATAAAAATTACAGTGATATAAAATATTATTATAGTGAAAAAAGACATATCCAAGTACACTGCAAGAAGCTAAAAAGTAATATGACTGCTTTTAAAATGACGAATGACAAGAAAAAAAATCAAATAGAAGTAAGAGTGATAATGTTATTGTTGTGTTTGATGACTATAATCCATGTTTGTAATGATAAGAATTGTTTTGTAGAGTTGGAAGAGAATGTGAAGTATGGAGATATTATGGTTGTCAACAATAAAAAGGTGTAGATTCAAGGCATTAGGAGTGTTCGTTTTATATCTCACAATGATGCTGTTATGATGCTTTATCATGTAAAATATATACCGAGTTGTAACTACAATTTGATTGCTTTGGTTGAATTAACTTCTCATGATATACATATTATGATACTAATGATTAGTTGAAAGTATATAAGAATGATAGTGTGATTCTATAAGAGAATAGGGTCAAAAATCACTTTTACATGTTTGATGAAGGCTCAGTTGTTAAGATTCCTTAGATGAAGGAAAAAAAAGAAAAGAAGAAAGGCAAGAATGTTAGCTTTATAGATACTGTTAAAATGTTTGGAGATTTAAGTTAATGAAGATTTGTTGGGGTTTGCCTTGAATCTTATAATCTCACAAGTTATAAGAGTTTGAGTTTATCTTGTATTTCACATTTGGAGTTTAGTGAAGATATAATGGTTTCACTTTTAAAAATAAATATGATATTTTAGTTTTGGTTTGATAATCCTACATAGTTATATACTAAGAGAATAGCTAAATGAGTAGATTATTTAAAAAATATAATTAGATTGTTGATTAAATTTTGAATAAAAATTTTTTATGACTTTTCTCATTCTAAAAACTCACCGTTATATATATATATATTATATTAGTGGATTAAATTTGAATTAAACTATTTTGAATTAGATTAAAATAAATATATTTATATATTTTTATTTTTGATTTAAATTTATTATTTTATGTATAAGTGTTACGTGTGCATATTAATTTCTTAATAAATATATTGGACATAAACTTTTGGTCGTTAATGCAAAAAATATTGAATGTGCAAAACTTTAGATTTTGGGCATGACCAAAAAAACAAAATTCAGGGGCTGAGGTGGAAGATGCTTAATGTTCAACCTTCATTTATTGTTCGCTGTGTCTGAAATGGATCATTTATTTGAGGTCACGACCACCAATGGCGACAAACACAAATGGTGGAATTTTTTAAAATAAAAATTTGGGTGTTCCAACGCAGATTTTTCAACCGAACCCAAATCTACTTTCAACAAATATTTATATATATATATATATATATATATATATAATCATGATTAAAACATTTGCTAACGACTTTGTATTTTATATTTTCTATAAAAAAGTTTTTGTAATTTGAAGATAAAAATAATTATAAATATTTAAATTTAAATTTAAATTTATTAGATGTTATATTTTAAAATAACTATATGATACAATTAATTAAGAATCGTTTTTTTGTAATTTTTAAATTGTAATTTCATTTTCTTTCGTATATAAATCTTTTATTTTTTCTGTTTTTATATTTGTTTAGATATTATTGCATTAATTACATTTTTTGACTTAAACTTTGAAAAATATATAATTTGATACCCTAAAAAAACAAATTATATAATTTATACCATGAATTTTTAAATTATATATTTCTTTAACCAAACTCTTTCAAATTAGACCTTAATTTTTTTTTCTAACTAGTTACAAGCTTTTTATTTAAAAAAATGGAAAATTATAGTACTATTTAAAATAGTATTTTGGAATTGGATCATCATAATCCTTCTAGCATAAAAATTAATGATTAAGGATATTTTTTGTCAAATTTTCACCTTACCTTTTTTGTGTTTTAAAATTATGTCTTTTTTTTTTTATCATATGGTTCTTTTATTTGTTATACATTAAAATTATTTTTTAAATTTTTTTATTAAAAACATTAATTTTATAAAATAAATTAAAATTTTAATATATAATTATGGCAAAATTTTCTTTTAAAATTCTATAAAAATCAAACAAAAACAAATAAAATAGAATGGAACAATAGAAGAAATGAAATGATAGTATCAGATCTATATCCATCTCTATATGTATAATTAAGGAAAGGGAAAGAGTACCAAACCTAAACGTTTTAATCAGTGGGCAAGGCATGGTTGCTGTCCCAAAAGTCTTCCCATTCAAGTAAAGGTAGTTGAAGTTGGGCACATTGAGTGAGAAAGTGGCCAACCCCTCCTCTACTCTCTCTTTCTTACTCATTTTAATTAACATATTCATCATGATAATGCAACCCTTTAATAAATCCAATTATAAATACAAAAAAGGGTGAAAGGTGGCCAAAAGGCAAAAAGAAAAGTAGTACAATTTCATAACCCAAAGCTACATAACATAAGAAAGAGCCAGATCAAAGTTATACATATAAAAAGAAAGAGAGGGACAACCCCCAAAGAGAAGAATTTATGTTAGAAACATTACTATTGTTAAAACAAAAGTACAAAAAACAAAATCTAAACCCCCCATGTAATGCAATAAAAAGCTAGGAATAAGAAAAATTATAAACAGCAAGCATGTTATATAGAAAAGAAGGATGAGAAGGAGGAGGGCTAGAGAAAGGAAGAGAGAAAAAAAAGTGTCTTCTCTGGCTGGTTGCTGCTACTCTTCTTTTTCTAGCTACTTGTAACTCAGCTTTTTGAAGGGTTCTTTGCAGAATTTGGAATTTGGAAGCTCTCCATTTAAGGTGCATACATGCATGATCTTTCTTTCTCTTTTTGTATTCCTTTTTTGGGTTTTTCTTATAGCATTTTTGTTTGTATAAAGTTTTGTAAATTATGTTGTTCATGATTTTTAGATGTTTGTTCATTATGCTCTTAGGGAAGGAGTAGATAACTATAATTCTCAAAAAGTGATCTTTTTTTTTAAGGTATGTAGTTTTTAGTATTAAAAATTTCCTCTCTTTTGATCTCTTCAAAGTGTCATATTTTGTTTTCTTGGAAAATTGTTGTCCTTTAACCTTTAAGCTGCTCTGATTTTTTTTCTTTTGTGGTAAGTAATTTATGTCCTCAAAACCTGGAATTTCAGAAAATAGAAATCCTCTAGCTTCCCAGAAGTAAAAGTTCTGTAGAGAGGAAGTTGATGCTGATTGTGAAAGATTCATATATTATTATTTTTTTAATTTATATAAAAAATGAAAAATTTATCTTCCATATTGGGAGTTTAAGAAAAACAACTTTTTTGGACTTTTGTGTCTGTTTGTATATTTCTACGAGGGTTTGTATATTGGAATGATATATTAGTTTTGACCTTAGCTTGGAAACTTTATTTAAGAAACAATTTTGTGGGTTAAACCCCATTTATTTAATGATGTCAAGTGAGGAACTACCTGCTGTTTTCTGTTTAACAAACATCGAAATCCGAACCGATTTATTCATTCCTGGTGGATGACCTTAGATAGAACTTCAGGCCTGTGGCCTCCTTGGTATAAGACTACTGATTCATAATATCCTGTAATTTTAATTCTCTTTTGATTGAGTACTTGTAATTTTCATGTTGACCTTGTCCTTATGAATCATCAAGCTGATTTGTTATTATTATGTTTACAAAAGTCCAAGTCTTAATATTTGTTCTTAATTAAGAAACTTTTGGATTATGAAAGCCTGAAAAGTTTCCAAATCATAGTGCTTGTCAGGCAGTTTAATCAGATTTGATGGTTGGGAACATGAATCCTAGAGTCCGCATGAAACATTGTTTGCCAAATAAGTGTTTTGATTATGTATTGTTTTTCCTCCTTATCATTCACGATAGATACTATTCTGTATAACACAACAATTGCATTAAATCTTATGCATCCTTTTACGTCTACAGATAAAAGGATCGACATTTCAGCCATAAACGATTGAGCCTGCTGACTTCTAGCTATTCTGTTTCTTCCCATGCTTAGGCAGGCACAATAATGCTGGCAGAATGGGAAAGGCAGGAAGTTGGTTTTCTGCAATTAAAAGAGTTTTCATACCACACTCCAAGGAAAAGCTAAATAATGTAAGGACAACGCCATATACACACACACATATGTACACATAACTGTCCTGTGATGGAATTTTTGAAAAATAAAGGAATATTTTAACTCTGGTGCATAGGGATTTAACCACTTCGTTTTTGGTTTTGGTTCACTCTAAGAAGGAATGTACTACAATTGTTGATGATATTTATTGTTTAATTTCATTATTTTCTTTTATTTTTATTAGAAAAAACTTAAATTTTGTGTGTAAGGTTCACACATGCCAGTAGATTGTGCTGGAATGAAAAAGTTTTATGTTTTTAAACCAGAATGTGATTACTGATTAGGAGAGCATAAGAACCTGGCATATGGAAAAATGATCAAAATAAAAATGGATACACTTAGTTTCCTTCTGAAAAACTATCGATGCATCTAATGGGAGAGTGAAATTTCTGAATGAAGGCAGTTTTGTTATATGGTCAGCTATTGAGCTCTATATGCTTGTTTCCTAGACGGAGCAAGCAAAGTCCTCATACCTTCTGTTTTCTATGGTTAAATCATTACAGGAATCTGATAACAAAAGTGGTAAAGAAAAGAAGAAGAAAGGCCTAGGGAAATTAAGGCATGGAGAAACCAATTCCTTCATTCCCCTCTTCAGACAGCCCAGCAGTATTGAGAAAATTCTGGGGGAGGCTGAAAGAGAGCATAAACTAATATTCAGGCCTCCCACACCTCCAGACCAGCCAAGAACACCACCTTTTGTGCCTCATAGAGTTGCTTCTCCATGTGTCCCTTCTCAGAGGATTGCCTCTCCCAGGGTTGCTTCTCCAAGAACTGCTTCCCCTCCACGAGCTGCTTCCCCTAGAGTTGCTTCTCCAGCTCCAGCTCCACCTCCACGAGCTGCTTCTCCAAGAGCTGCTCCTCCTAGAATTGTTCGTCCTCGACCAGAACCAACTTTAAGGAACCATCATGCTTCAGCTACAAAAATTCAAGCAGCCTACAGAGGTTATATGGTAAGTCCTTTATTCTTATCAACAAAAGACTTCAAGTGCAATTTCTTAAGGCAAACTGGTTTGAAAAAAATAACGAGAGATAGTTGGCTGTTGAACTGAATAACAGTATAGAAGAATTATGTTGTTCACGATTTCACGTTTTAAGTTATTGTTTGTGCAAGTCTGGTCTAGATTTGGTCACTTTCCCCTCCACTTTTCCACCCGCTGATATTAATATATGGTAAATGAGCATAATTTGCCCTGGAATGTAAAGAGCTATATGATATGAACAGCTTTAAATGGGCTTAAGTAATAACTGAGGGTTTCTTGGGCAAACAGTTAATTGCAGCGCTCTAGTCATGTGTTAGTTGGTGCTATCATGTGTGATACACAGTAGATCTAATTGCATTGATATGTTTTGCATCAATATTTGATTCCCAACTTGATCATCTTGAAACTTCTAATACAGGCAAGGAGAAGTTTTAGAGCTTTGAAAGGCCTTGTGAGGCTTCAAGGAGTTGTGAGAGGTCAGAACGTGAAACGCCAAACTCTGAATGCCATGAAATATATGCAGCTTTTGGTACGAGTTCAATCTCAGATTCAGTCACGAAGGATCCAGATGTTAGAAAACCAAGCACGACAGCAGGCTCAGTTTAAGAATGATAAGGAAGTTGAGAGTACCTTGGGCAAATGGGCCTTCAGCCAGGCAGTAAGTTTCAGTGGTTTTGTTTCTGATTGCATGTAGTCTTCTTTCTTTTAAGTAGCTACAACTTCTCAAATCCAGAGATGCCCCCTTGTAATAGACAGTAAAAAGAAAGAATTGTCCAATTTTTCCATAGGCCTCGTTGCTTCCTTCGAATGTAGCATTAATTTTTTCCATCAAGACTGCCAGATTAAGTATGTAAATAACACAATACTTCCAGCTTTCACATTGAATGGTTTTCCCTTACCTAAGAATTCTCTGGTTCATATGACCTTAGGGAACTTAGTGAAACTTGGAGATCATATATTCCTGTTTGTTTCATATATGGTTCTTTCTATATTGCTGTTAAAATGAGTAACTTAGTTGAATGTTGGATCAGTCTGATGCAGGCAATGAAGACTGGGATGATAGTGTGCTAACAAAAGAGGAAATAGAGGCAAGAATGCAGAGAAAGGTGGAGGCAGTAATTAAAAGAGAAAGGGCCATGGCCTATGCATTTTCCCACCAGGTAGTTTATTTTTTACTAGCCCACCCCAGTTTCAACTGTATCATGTTGGATGGTTTATAAAGTCATATTTTGGGCTTTATCATTTTGCTGTATGCCTCAAGCTGAAACAATACTTTGTCCTTCTATGGATAGTTATCCCGTACCTTGTTTCTCATTTCTCAGTCCCTCTGTTGGTTAAGCTTTCTAGTTTTTGTTTCTTACTTCATTTCCTATAGAAATCCAACCGATGAAGTGATCTTCAGAGATGATTTGAAGTGAGACCTGGCTCCTGAATGTCATAAGTTTTTAGTATTTTACTTGCAATTCATGGGATCACTAAATTCGTTGAAGCTTGATACATGGAACAAGCATTAAAAAAAAAAAAAAAAAGCCTGTTTCTGCTAGCTAATAAACTATAGCTTAGAAGGTTTCCCTGTCTATTTGCATATGGACAAAATTATGAATACATAGCTCAGTTGGGGTTGAATCTCAATCTAAGGCTCCGTTTGGATGGTGTTTTTGCTTTCATCTCCCCTTAAAACTTGTACAAGCCTAATTACTATTGACAAGTTTTTACTTTTCTTTCAAAATTTGATTTGAAACATTTCTGCATAAACAGCTATGGAAAGCTACTCCGAAATCAGCTCAAACAGGTGTATCAGACATTCGCTCTGGCGTATTTCCATGGTGGTGGAACTGGTTAGAACGTCAACTACCTCCTGACAATGCTCCTGAAAGCCAAGGCATGAAGAGTTTCCAACTTACACCATCAAGGCCAAATTCCGAACTGAAGCCAAGTCCAATGCTGCAGTCAACCAGCAAGCAACATCAGCTCACCTTTGACAATTTGGACACTCCTACACCGAAATCTACAAGGTCAACAGTACTCCCGGCAACAAGACCCTTGCGAACTCCACCTTCTAGTAGAACCCCTCAAGCAAGCATCTCAGGGTTGTCGAAATATTCAAGACCAAGAGCTAGTGGAGCTGATTCTCCCTTTGACTTGCCCCTGAAGGATGATGATAGCCTTACTAGCTGCCCACCATTTTCAGTCCCCAACTACATGACTCCAACAGTTTCAGCCAAAGCCAAAGTGAGAGCTAGCAGTAATCCCAAGGAGAGGTTCATGGGGACTCCAGGGAGCGAGTCGAAGAGGAGGCTTTCATTCCCTTTGACACAAGGGATTGGATCATTCAAGTGGAGAAAAGGGTCTTTGTTTTCAGGGAAGGATTCAAGCTCTCAAAAGGGTTTAGATAAGCACCAATCACTTCAATCTATAGGCAATTTGAGTGTGGATTCGACAGTTTCTATGCCTGCTACTGTTGGAAGAAAGCCATTTAACCGATTTGTATGATTTTTTTTCCCTTATTGTAACCTTTGATTACTTCATTTTGGCGTTTGTCTTCATTGAGTGCATGGTGGTATGTTGAGTTACAAAATTATTGATGTAAAATAAATGAGAAAACATTAGGAAATGATGGTTTGAATGTCACTGGATTTGGGGCTTGGTGAGATATTATAGTAATTTTTTTCTTTATTTGTTTTTTAATTTGAGATTATCATAATTTAAATCTTAAAACTAAGAATCCAACACTTACTCTAACATGTACGAGTATTAACTTTTTCTTTATTTGTTTTGTTATTAATTTGAAAATTCTTTGAATTACTATATAATATTTATAAAATCAAGATTAATTAAAAAAAAACCTTAGATAAAATTTTCTAGATTCAAGAAGATTTTCATTAAAATTGATCAATTAAATATATGTAATTCATAAAATTTAATAAGAAGTTCAATATAAGTAAAGAGTTAATTAAAAATATGAAAAAATTAATTAAGATGTTTATACATAAAATTTGATCAATATTTTATTGATCCGCGAAAGTTTTATGAGAATTTTTAATAAAATTGCTTATTCAAATAGTTATAAAAAATTTATATATATAGATGTATATCTAAATTATTTAGTAATTCAAAACAATATGGGCTTATTCTTTTCCAAGGTTGGAGCTTCTGAACCTATCTCAGAGTTCAATCTTTTTCTTTGTCTTTTATTTCTCTTCTTTGTGCCAATGATCTTTTGCTAGATTTTAGCGAACCAGATGGATGCTATGTAGTTCTACACATGATTGGAAATAGAGATGTTCATGGGTTAGATTTGGAGCGGATTCATGCATGGTATTATTAATTTATATGTGTTGTCTAAGTTTGGGTTAATATGAAATTTCAAGTTTTAAAATTTTTTATAATTTGATCCAAATTAAAAAAATAAATTTTAAATCCACTAATTAAATTTAATTTATATTAAAAAACTTAAAAAATATGATTAAATTAAATTTAATGAAATTATATTATATAAAAATAAAAATAAAAATATATATAAATTAAAAATAAAAATAATATAAAAAATTAAGTTTAATAAAATATACATAATTTTATTTTTAATTTATATATATATGAATTAATTTATATATAATTCACATATATATATATATATAATAAATAATTTATATTATGTAAATTCAGATTAGATCGGATTGAGCTTGAATTTTAAGTTTTTTACTTCAGATCCAATCTAAAATTTAAACGAATTTAAGAATTATGTTTAAACATTTTAATAGATTTTAATTTTTTATTCAAATTCTTTTAAAATTTGGACAAACCTTCAAATTTAGGTAAATAACCTAACCCTTAAATAAGTTTAATTGGAGATGGTCACCAGATATTATTTTGGCTCTTAAGTCTTTTTTTTTGGATAAATGTTGCCCTTTAGTAATGGCTATTCTAGTATTTATATGAACATAAATAAATTATTATCATTTAAACTTGTTTTACTTTGTGTGCTCTCTTCATAAGTTTTATTTATTTTTAACAATTATTGAATATTTTATTTTTTAAGATTCACAAGTGCATATATTTTTTATACTCATTAAATCTTCACGATAATGAAAATGAATATAAATTTTATCCAAAAATATAGATATAAAGATGTGTATAATATTAAAAAAAAAAAAACGATGAAAATAAAAAATGTTTCATCAACTTATACATTTCTCGTTAACATTTTTAAGAGTACTAAATATTTTTCTTTTAATAAAAAATGTCCTTATTTTGTGCCAAGTGAGATATCCTTAAGAAAGAAAAATGTCGTTCATCCCTCCTTCATAGCTGCAATCATGTTTCTTTCATGCCTCAATTCTCTGTTCTATTTCCTTCCTCACTCCTCATGTTAATAAAACAACTAAAATACTTACTTTAGATACCATTTTGCCTCCCCTTCCATTATTTCCTAAATTACTTCAACACTATTTATGTAATGTTGATTATCAAAACATTTTTTTTAAATTACATTATTAAAAATTAAAAATAAATAATTTAATAAATAATTAATCAAAGAAATAATTAAATTTATAACATAACCGAGAGTTGAAGCAAACATGAATAAAAAATTATTTCTTAAAAAATAAAAATATATTTGTCATCTCTATTGATTACTCAATAAGTAAAGAAAAAAAATCAAATAAAAATATCATTTATATATAAAAATATGAATTTAAAAAATATTTATCGTGATTGATTAAAATTACCTTCAATAAAATTTTGTTTCTAAAGTATTACTATTAATTTTTTCATATAAAATAAAAATATTGGTTAATCATAGTTGATTTCTCATTTTTGGCATGCTTAATTAATTAGCCTCCATTCAAAGCATTTCTTTCATGTTTTTGTTTTTTTATTTCTTTTTTCATTGCTATAAATAATTAATGTGTAGATAAGACAAATACAAAGTTTAATTAGGTGGAAATTTGACTTGAAACAAAACGTTAAATTTTAATCATGCTTTTAATTTGATTTTCATAAGTAAACAAAACACTAAAATAGTATAAATATCAATACGTGATCAAACTTGGCATTATTTATTTTTTTAATTCCATTATAATTCGTTATTATGTTTTAGAAATAATTGAATATGCTCGAGTGTTTTATTTTATTATTATTATTATTTTAATAATTTTGTTATTAGTTTTTATTTCATAATAAATTTGTTCGAATTTAAAAAAAAATAAAAAGTGTATCCTACAATTAAAATAGAAATTTGACGAAAATTTTACCTTTAAACAAATACTCTTTTCATTATTTGTTCCTGCTTTAGAAATTTATTTTTATATATAGTTAAATTTATTTAATATAAACTTCAAAAATAAAAAGGTTAGCTGAATTTTTTATTAAATTATATCACTAAAGTTTACGAGATATACATGTATAATACATTGTCATACAAATTTTTTAAGTTATATAGTAATATGCTTCTAACTAACATAGACTATTGGGATCGAAGTCAATTGATAATATTGACAGTAAATTTATTATTCCTTTTGATACAAGTAAATATAATTATTTTTTAATATTTAAAAGTGTGAATTTAAAAAGTGTTAAAAATAATTAAATTAATAAAATTATCTTTAAATATATAATTTTTATTAATTTATTTAAGTTTAATTTAAATCAATAAAAATTAAATTAGAGTCCACGTGAAATTAATTTACTTAAAATTTTAATTCCAAAAGTATTAAAAGCGATCGAAAAAAATACCTTTAATAAATTTTTATAAAATTTAATTTAAACAAAATTTCTTGTTTATTATTAGACTTTTTTATAATTAGATTTTAAAATGGTAAAAGTGATTTTTTTGCCATCAACTAAAAGTGATTGGCTAAAATACTTTTAATAAAATTTTAATTCAAAAAATATTAAAAATAATTGATTAAAATGCTATTAGTAAATATTTTATAAATTTTAATTTAAATAAATATTTTTATTTAAACTCATATTGAGACATAAAATATGATTTTCACATCAAATAAAAATACAAATAAAACGGATCAAAGCTTATTAGTGCGCATGGTAATAAGACAATTGTGTGGAGTTTTTTTTTTTATTATTATTGTTGTAAAAACAATTGCACATGTAGTTTATATTGATAAATAAATTCATTAAAAATAATCATAATTAAATCATTGAAGCATATTTTTTTATTTTTTATTTTTTACTTTTAATTTTTTGTTTTAATTGGTTTGCTAACTATATATGTGAATGATTTTATTATTTGTACGTTTTATGAATTAATCATTTAATTATTTTTTGGTTTAAATCATTTAATCATTGATAACATAATTAAATCCTTTTAGTCACTTGAAATAATTTTTTAATATATATCATTCTTATAGTTTAACTTGACTTCTATAATTAATTTATCTTTTGCATTATTTCTCTAAAATTTTATAATTATTATTCCCTTGAACAAAAAAAACTAATATCAAATTAAATTCAAATAAATTGTACACACCTTCCACTAATATTTAGCATTATGTGATTAATTAAATATTTTAAACACTTCAATTGGACTTCCTACCCATAACATTAGATAATTCAGGAAGTGATAGAGTTACCAGTAACTTAGGATCAAATTGCTATAAGAATTGTTCACATTGACTAATTTCTATCTCGAAATGATTTAAATTTTTTTTTAATTTTATTGAATCACTTGCTTTTGTTTGTTATCCAAGTGGTTGAAAGCCCTAACATGAATTATTTTATGTAAAGAATTATCAAGTAAAGTAAGATTAATTATTTTTAGTGAATTTTTTCAATGTGTGATAAAATTTAGTAGAACAATATTTTGAATGTGTTTGTACCAATGTTACATTTGTTTTGCCACCACCAATATTATATTCATTATGAAAATTTTTGTTGTTAGTATTAAAAATAAAATCATTATAAATTGTGTAGGTGCTACATAACAAGTTTGTTATTTTGAGAATTGTAATTCTTTAAGATTAAAACATAACAAGTACCAAGGTTAGGAATTAATTTAATTTAATTTTAATTTCTAAAATGATATATTTTTATATTTTTACATAATAAAAATTTTTAAATAAAAAAAATTTGAAGCTGTTAATTGATAAAACATAGAATTACATTCAATCGATGGAAGTACTAATGAAAGATTATGCCAAACAAAAAATGAGACGAAAGATTCACTAGTTATGTATAACTTTATCTTCTTCATATGACAAAGTTAGTACTATATGATGTTTCAATGAAGAATATACAAAAATATGAATTTCAATTTTTTTTATAATTAATATGAAACCCTTTTTATTAAGAGAAAAATTGTATACTACTTCATTTTTTTTTTCAGTATATTAGTTGAAAAATGTTCATTGTTGTATCAAAGATTTTAAGGTTATGATATTAGTTAATATTTGTTTAAAAGTTTTGAAATTCATCAAATTAATTATCACTATTACATTTAATATAAAAACATTAGGCTAAAATAGCAAAAAAGCCCTTGAACTTTATCACTTTGTTTAAATAAACCCTTATAATTTCATTGTACCAAAATAAACCTTTAACCTTTAATTTGCATTTAAATAAATCCTTAAGCTTTAATTTGTATCCAAATAAAACCCTAAACTTTTATTTGTACTTAAATCAATCATTTTCATAAATCAATTTTTGGTTCGAAATAAAGTTT